GTTGGGGGATATTGTGACGTATGCGGAGGAAGAGTTGAGTAAGGAGATCATGGGGTTGCTGTTGAGGTATGGCTTCAGTTATGATGTTGCACTGCAGCAAGATGGGAGTGTGCAGTTGGTGGAGATCAATCCTTTTGGCGCGCTGTCCGGATGTGGAGCTTGTTTGTTCAATTGGGTTTTGGATGGAAAGGTGCTGTATGGGCTGGAGGAGCCGGAGTTCACTGTGACGGTGGAGGAAGAAGGATAGGTGGCTGTTTGTGTGTCTTTGTGCATTTTGCACTATGTACTGGATCTTTGCGATCTGCGGATGCTGGCGGTTGACCTAACGTCCAAAGAGACTTCTAGTCTGTCGGCATCTTCTCGGAAACGGCTGTCGCTTTTGAGCTATAGTGCTATGGTCAAATCTTAGGCCCGTCATCAGAAGGCCCATCAATCTGCCCGTGCGTTTTCCTCATTACCCGCTCTTGCGTTTCTCCGCGCCTCATCGCTCCTGAGAAGCTCTCCAAGCGCCTTGAAGTTAACCGGCTTCGTCATGAAGTGATCAATCCCCGAACTCCATGCTTCCAACTTGGCACTCGAAGACGCTAAGCCAGTAAGTGCGACGATGGAACATCGTGGCAGATTGTTACTCCGCTCGTACTCGCGAATCGCACGTGTAGCGCTCATGCCGTCCATGACCGGCATAGACATATCCATCAATATCACGTCATATTTGCGCGCACCTTCCTGGTATTTATGCAGTGCTTCTTGTCCATTCGACGCTTGTTCGAATGGAAGGCCGTGTTTCTTCATGAACGCGACGAGCAGTCGTCGGTTCAGCATGTTGTCGTCGACGATCAGGGTGTGCGATATCACAGGATCCTCTTCCTGAGGTGACGTAACCGAATGCTGCACACTTGTGGATCCAGCGGTAGAAGGAGCGACTGCTTCAGGTGACGTCAAGCTGAGAGACTCCATGGAATTCTGCATAGACTTGGTTGGTGTAGAGGGGTGTGATTGTTGTCGAGGCTGTGGCAGTGGACTAGAGACTCCGGCAGGTTGTAGGTTTTCGGCGGGATGTTCAAAACGATCCAGGCATCGGTTGAGAACCCATGCGAGCTTGTAAGGTCCACACGGTTGCGTGATGATCTCAACTACCGACTCACGATTGGTAACGCGGACATCGGAGCGCAAAGTCGCTGCTTCCAGTGCATCCATCCCCACAAAGATGGTCACTGGGGCGCGCTGGCCGTTGGGCCTCCGTTTCCGGATCGTGGCGAGGTAGTCAAAGGACAACTCCGGGCAGATGACCATGTCAGCGTCATGACCTTCCCACTCGTGCGTCTTCACCACTTCCATCTTAAGATGTGTCTCCAAGGTATAAACCAGTGCGTTGGTGAAGCGTAACAGACCTTCGTCCGTTTTGGAGACCGTGGTGTCTTCGGTTGGCTTTTCTATCTTCTTGCGAAGGATGCATATCCTCCGACCTTCTAACCTTGGTAGATAAGACAGAAACTGCGCTCGTTCAGTCGTTATCGCACCGGGTATTTCTGGTTTGTTAAGGGCCAGTTTGACAATGAGTTTAGTGCCGGTTTTTGGGTCACTGCTAACTTCAACCTTGCCGCCGTTCGTGTCGATTATCTGACGCACGATACTCATGCCCAGGCCTGTACCCGGTGCGTGAGGATTCTCCTGGGAGAATGGCTGGAAGAGGCGGTTCGCGAGAAAACTAGAACTCATGCCCGAGCCAGTGTCCGTAATGGTGAGTGTGATCGCTGCTGGCGCATCGGCATTTTCAGCTAGCTTGTTGGATCTCAAGGAAACATGAATGTACCCCGTTTCAGTATACTTGACAGCGTTACCAAACAAATTCATCACGATTCTTCTCCACGATCCAATTGGAAATGAAAAGACCCAATCATCATCGTAAGCCAAATCGAAAACGACAAAACGTGCTCTGCGCGGAGGAAACGAGATTGCGTGTTCATCTGTAGGCGATATAGGTGCTTCCATGAGCTTGGAGGTGGCTGGAATGTATGATGACCCAGAGAACACTGCTTCTACGACCTCTTCGGTTGCGATTCCAAGATCGAATGCGGAAACCTTTCTTCGCCGGCTCTTCACTGGCTTGGATGATAGCCGTATTGTATTCTCGTTTTTCAGTTTCTTCGAGGAAACTACCTTCATTTCTTCGCTGATTTTGGCGTAGTCCATGACGTGGTTGATGGTATCAAGGAGCGTCGTACCGCAAGCGTGCAAAGAGTTCATCATACTCGTCTGGAATGAGTCCAACGGCGTGTCTTTGATGAACTCTAGTGTACCAAGTATTCCGTGCAAGGGCGAACGTAACTCATGTGAAATGGACGAGATGAATGTCGATTTGGCCTGTGATAATCTCTCAGCTTTTGCAAAATCGTTAGCTTAAGCGCTTACTCACCTGATCCAAGGCCGCGGCATCTAGTCGTGAGAGCTCTCTCATGATCGAGTGACTGAAAATCTTGAAATATGCCATGTCCACAGATGCGGACAGTAGCCTGTATGGATCATTACTCCAGCACAGACAGCCGGCAAACCATCTAGCCCTTTCAAAGTCCCAAAAGGGAATAAAAGCGATACTGCGTGCTTTGGGAAACATCGCCTGGATAGCAGCCGAGCCCCGCTGCGGTCGGTCGTTGGTCTTGCGTTTCGATGGCGGGGCAGGTGTCAGATGTTCAGCAACCTTGGGGCTCGAAATCGATTCCTCGCTCGAGGATAAGGAGCAGCCTTCAGCGTTGAAGGTAAAGATCTTGCCATGTGGATATTCGTGAAATAAGCGGGAAAGGTCAGGCTCCAGCAAAGTCCCGTATTCCGACTCCTTGTCGCTCGGCGTTGCTACTCCGAGTAGCTGACACATTTTGGAACTTGACGAAGAAGTGCCGCGGGCATAACCTTCGGTACTGTTGGAGCTTGCCTCATCGCTTGAAGATCTAGATCGATACGACTCGGAGGGGGCATCAGTATCGCTTCTTGAGGCGCTGTTGCCGCGCCGCTGCCCCGCGCTTGCCGCAACGCTCGCATCTAGAATCAGCACTCCGTCAAGATCGCTTGAGCTCATCAACACATTTGCAGCACGCGAGAACATCGACTTCGAGTCAGTGGGTAGAATAGAGTCCTCTAGATTTATGGCATCGAGTCAGTGCGTATCTCATGTGAAGCTTGGAGAGATAGTCCTTACGAAGTGTACCGATCGACCGATGTCTATTGGATCTGGCACGACTCGTCTTGGCCATTGCTGATGGCGATTGAACAGAAGTAGTCTGCTTCGTTTCGACTTTATCTCGCGTATCCTTCGCTCCGTCCATATCCGTTTTGGACGCCGCGGAAGAGTAATCTGACGGTGTCTGAACGACTGCTGTCAAATCGTGCCGAACGTCTCCGTCGAAAGGAGACAGAACAGATGCGCCTTCTGCAAAGGAGACAAGCCCCCGAGTGAACCTTTCTCCTCGCCTGTACTGATCTCTGATCGTATATGTGTTCAGATAGCTCATGACCGTAGAACCCAGGTCCCTTAACAAAGAAAGTTCTTCTTCGGAAAGACCGTCTCGAACCTTGTTGTCGAAGATGCATAGCGATCCGACTATTGCGCCGTTGGGAGACATCAACGCGACGCTGGCGTAGAACCGCATATCAGAATTCCCTCGGACATCGTCTCGAAAGCATGTGCCCTTATTCTTCGTGAGGTCGTTGATGATAAAGACTGGGTTCTCATTTCGGTTCAGTTCCAAAACCTTTTCACATATGCCCCAGCTCCGCGGGATGCTTACGTTCCCAAGCCAACAGCTGTTTGGAGCGTCCCCTGGTGCTTCTGGCCGCAACGGTAAGTCACAAGTCGCCTCCGCAAGTATGTGTTGTCGTTCATCGTCGAGGAGCGAAATCATGGACCGCTGGGCCCCCATCCGGATAGCTGTAAGTTGACACAAGGCTGTCAGAGTCGAATCTGGGGATAAGCGGGGTACATGGTTTTCCAGATTGTCGACATGAGGAATATTGCGAAACGCCGCGCCGTAGAGGAGCAGCACATCGCGCTCTCTTCTCATCCCATAGCGGTCTGTTTTGGTCTCTCTGGTGATGTTGGAATGTTGACTCATGATGCGCAGTACTGGCGATAAAACCACGGAAGGCCAGTGGCATCCACAAGCTCCCTCAGACCGTAGGTACCTAGGTGTGCTTCGCCATTAGGCCTAGGAGAGAGGAATCGCCACTGTTTGCATCTACTGAACATCAAGACATCGGTGGGGGATGAGGTGAAAGTTTGCGCATTGCCACACCAGACCAGCCGACTCAACATAGGCGGCAACTGGCATTAGGTCTCGCAGGTCGGCAAGTCAATTAGCGTGGTTTTGCTACCTGGGCGGTGCCAAGCTAATACGCCTTGTGACTGGTTGAGTGCGATGTTCCACAATCCGATGGCATCTAGAATCGTACTAGAGCACCTCGAACTGCGTGAAGGCATTTTTGGATCTCGATCTCTCAAGGCGCTGGGCATGAAGTACAAAATGGGTCTAGTGCTTCACTTAGTTTCTCTCGGCCAGAAATGCGGCGAACTGACATTGCCCAGGTGGACTCACTGATCTAAGCAATGCAACCGAATTGGTGTGAAGACACGTGCTGATACGTTGTATCATTCGACGGAGTGATATCTTGAAGCCGCAGGCTGCAGGTGTGCATGACTACAAGCGTTGCGAAGCGGAAAGTTGAATTTATTTTGACATCATGACGTCAGCATCCGGAAGATGCTCCGCGGAGCAGCCAGGCACCGAAAACAACTCCTTGTTTCGTGCCAACACTGCTGCTACGCCTCGAAACTGTAAAGCTTATGTCCGGTATGTTTCCAGCTATGCGTTTAGTGACCGAAAGCATTGGATTTAAGATATGGTAGCAGCTGTTGTGCGAGAGGTGCTAAGTATGCTACCTAGGTAAATAAAGCCCGAGATACACCGGAAGAACCCAAGAAGGAACGACCATTGGAAGGAAAACATCAATCATTCCATCTCGCGCGAGACCTCATCGTTTCTCAAGCCTTGATCTCGCGCGTACTCCTCATCATCATGACCGTGTACATCGGTCACGTACTTTTCAAACTCGTTGACAACCCGGACTGCCTGGTCTACATGGGCGTACCGCAAAGATTCCTTTTTGTATCGCGCGAGATGGCGAGCTGTATTGATCGTATTCCTAATCTGGCGGCCATTGAGTTTATGCCGGGCGAGGATGTCGAGCTTTCTGCTTATCTCTTCGGTGTTGATATTCCCTCCGGCCTCCGACAATGACTGAACAAAGTTCCTCCAGACTTCCCAACGGCCATCTCTATTCAGCGGCGGATAGTGGAGCGCGAGCTGTATGCGAGACTTGAACGCTTCATCGAAAGTTCCGATGCGGTTTGTCGTCAAGATCAAGATACCGTCGTAATACTCCAAGACGCGCAAGAAAACGGAGACCAGTGCATTGCGTTGCAGATCCATCTTTGTTCTTTCTTCAAGAAACACATCTGCTTCATCCAGTAGGACCACACAGTCCCAAGTATTCCCGATGAACAAGGCCGATTCGAGGTACTTCTCCACGCTTTCGGCATCTGTCCCGATGTCGCCGCAAGTCACCCTATACAAAGGACGATGAACGAGCTCTGCGATGCTTTCTGCTGTGAGAGTCTTGCCAGTACCTGGGCCACCGTGGAGCAACATGATGAGCCCTTCACCCTTTCCGTCCATAAAATCGGTCTTGATGTCATTGCTTTTCTCAATATGAACTGTAACCAATGCTTTCACCAGCTCTTTCTTGCCTTCCTCGAGGACCAGTCGATTTTCGAAGACACCGCTGTTCCATTTGATATCTTGGATATGTTCCACGAGTAGTGTATCTGTGTTGATGATCAGCACTCGTATAGCTAAGAGATTTGGTGAACGTACTCCACTTCTTGTTGTGAAAGCCGTACCCCTTGATAGTCGCCGGCAGCATCAATGTGAATGCGCCACCCGGGGGTTCATCATTCTCCAAGTCCTCACTCCTGAGTTCGCTTTGAGATGTCGGGTCATCATCGCGACCATGCATCAGCTTGTAAACTTCCGCGTCGACCATATACCGCAAATTAGCCTGGCTGTGTAAGCAGAGCTCTTCCCACTAAGATTTGGGTCTTACAGGCTGCGATCCGAGGCCCTGCACAGGCGTATGGTAATTCACGTATCTCTGCCGTCTGCAACTCCAGAAAGTATTACCGCGTAGGCGCAAGCTAGATTCAACCCCGTCTTCCGCGTGACGAATTGGATACACTGAAAGGCCCTTAATCTCCACCTGCTCTGAGCTAGATGGCCAATCAATGTGCATTGTGGTATGTTTCCGCGAAAACTTTCCATCATACTCCCAAGACCAGCATTCCAGTTCCAATGTGTCTAGTTCGAGTAGACGGCAGGACTTTACACTGAACGCGCGGTATTGGCTCTCACGCATCGTGACCACTATATCATCTGGTCGGAAAAGCATCAGCCAATGCTTTCGGCTTACCAATCCCACAGCTGATAGCTGTTCCAGCTCCTTGTAATCCAAAGCCAAACGCTCAGTTATGTAATCAGACAACACCTTGAGATCCTTCTGTTGTTGCGGCTCCAGTGCTTGTGCCCGAGGTCCGATGAAGACATGTTTGAATTGATCTAATTTCGGATACGGATGATGAAGATCTTCGTGGAAATCCCACTCGTCCATTATGTCTGCGTTCTGGTCTTGCAGCGTGTGCAGAGCGTCCTCAAGGTTTTCCGATAATTGTAGCCGCTCAGACGTCGCATTTGCTATTGGCCCATCATGTTGAAGAACTCGAAAGTATGGCTTCATGTCGATACCCACATCCTCAGGCATCGAAGGAACGCGAGTAGGTATGAATGTATCTTTGATATTGTCATGGTAAGCTTCGCAATCGTAATTGATGAAGATCGCAATACCGAACCCGAGGCGTTCGTCCAAGTAGTATTCAACATCTCGCAGGCGGGTTTGACCGTGTAAAGCTCTGGCCTGATGGTCGGATGTGATCATAACCGGAGTGTCGAGATAGTACGATCTTGAGGGGTGGCTCTCATGATATTTTCGTTTACCGGAGCAGGTCACACAATGTATGGTAACTTGTCGTGTGACAGGTTCCTCCACTGATAGACGTGCTCGCTTGGAGATATCAGCCTCAGGCGGTTGCTGCGTGGAACTGCGCATACTGGCTGCTAGAGCTCCGTCGGGGCTCTGCAAGCGTTTCCTCTTGGCATGGACCTCCATGTAATATTGGCTCGGTATTAAATATACGATGAGAAAGTTGTTCGATGATGGCGAAAGAATGAGTGCAGCTCAGTTAATGTAAACATCGGTCTTCACCGGTCAAAGGGGGCTTGTACGAAGGCTAAGCTCATCTAGGTACAGCGTCATCAAGCCGCGTGCTGCATGCTGCATGCAAGCCCCTGAGAAACCCTGTTGCGAAATTTGAGGCCTCGTATGCCACCTAGATATACCTGTCACACCACTTTATCGCTGCTAGAAATCATAGTCTTGTAGACACTTCTGTAGATGTCGTACAGCGCTCGTCTATTCTATGGATCTTGCGGATGACTGTACATTGTATACCATTGATAATCCTAATTGACACGTGATGACGATTTCACACTCGCTCTTCTTCAAATTATGCTTTATCTATACTGCGCATCCTGTTCTCTTCCAAGCATCTTGCGTGGCATTGGGTTCTCGGGAGTACTGTCTTGAAGCCCGGAGCGAATATGAGGAGTGGGCTGCATTGGTATTGCGTCCGTTAGTCTGTGCAGATGTCCCACAGAATTATACCTATGATCATGAGAATGGCCTGGCGGGCCAGTTGCTCTCAAATTTGAATTGGGTAATTGTTCACGTAAATAATCCGCCCTTTGTGATAGTTCACGGCTAGTGTCCCGGTCACTCGCGCGATTTCGTGATTGATTTTCTCCGGCTTTCTGCTGATTATACAAAGACCGAAGGGGGTGTTCAGAGTTGTTAGTTGAGACGCCAGAGTCCATGCCATGGGTTATATAAGCGTCGTTTGCTGCTATCCTGTGTTGCCGAGCTAGACTTTCGGCGTAGACTTCAATGTTCTGCTGCTGCCGAAGATTGTTGTCTGACGGAACAAACTCATCGGATCGGTTGTGGGTCTCCTCAATGTTTTCGAACCCATCCTCGCGCTGTTCCCGAGCTGTAATTTGCGCTCCACGACTGGGGAGAGGCTCACTCTTAGCGGCTCGGCTGAGAGGCTGCTCCAAAGCCATGAAAAGATTTCTACGGCGCTTGGAAGCACCTGTCGTACGGTCTTCTGATATTGTATGCTTCAATTCCCCACGAGAGAACCTGTATCCTGAGTACGCAGTTGGGTCTCTCGTGATTGCTGGAGACCGATCATCAAGCTCGTCAATAGATTGTATCCGGGCACTTGCTGAGGATGCATAGGCAGGTATCGTTTGCTGACTGCGGAGGTTGCGCATAGCCTCTTTCTGCGCAGACGTTAATGATTGAGGCGTTAATGGTTGAGGCGTAGATGAAAGAGCCACCAATGGATTAATCGTCAATTCTGCAGGTACTACTGGTTGAAGTGGAGGCTGCCATGATCGCTGCCGCATCTTAAGGCTGGATATATGATAATTCTTGGGTAAGAATTGATCCGCCGTTCCTGGGGGCGCCAAACTCGGGTCAAAATTGACGTTTGGAAATGTGTTCGAGCTCAATGCGTGCGCGTCCATTCTCTGTTGCATCAATCTATCCACGTAATCCCTTTGATCCCTTTGATCTCTTGAGTCTCTGATTGGTGTTCTTCTAGGTGGTGTTGGGCGATTGGTGTCTTGCCTTCCTCGTATCTCAGATTTCTTTATGTCTGGTGCAGCTTCTCCCCGCATGTGCTCATCTCGATCATCGCCGCCTGCTGTTGAGCTTGAGCTTGTTGAGAGTTGGCGAACTTGGTCTATCAATGATGTGGACTGGGACATCTCGTGACGTATGTGAGCAGGGTCCTTCATAGGCCGCATGGGGTTGTAGTCAGAGCCCTGGCGGTGCAGGCCAGGCATGCCACCAGCAAGGTGGGAGTTCAGCGAGCGTCCGTCCTTGATGTTAGGGGAATCCTGGGTTGATAGGCTGGGAAGGAGGGTGTTTTGCATCGCGGGCGACATAAACATCTGACTGGGTTGGTCAGACTCTGGTCGAGAGTCAGGGCGTATGTTGGATTCTGCGCCTCGTCCTCGTTTTGGTCCTTGATCTGTATCAAACGTTGCATAATCCCGCTTAAGAGGCCTTCCCGTGGGGGCAGACCGTCCAAATGCGTGTGCCAAACTCGGCCTCGACATCTGAGGTTTCGTTGACTGCCCGCCGTCTTTGGACCGAGACTTTGCCAGACCTAGCTCCACGATTGAGTGATTGATGTCGTCGTCACGTGAACCTTGTCTTGCTAGGAAAGACAAATCTGTCCATGTTGTTCGGCCAGGTTGCTTGTTGTGACTTGTTTCGACGCTGGAACGGTCTTGAGCTGTGACACGTCGAAAATGAGTTCCCGACGAATCCGTCGTCGCACGAGTTCTCCACTGTTGCGTTGGCCGTTGTTCTCCCTGGAAGTGATACGCGCCGCGCATTGATTTTCGATTTATCAAGACCAGCACAACAACTCAGAGGATAGTTTAAACCGAGGAACGTTGTTAGTTGCCGTGGTGGACTGGCCAATTATGGAATGTTTGGGTTCTTGCTCCAGAGAAGTGCGGCTAAGCGGTTGTGTAGGCATTAACGCTAGTCGTATACGATCGAGTGGCCGATGGCGTATAGGCGCGACTTGGGAAGATAACGGAGGGTGGGTACGAAAGTAATAGGGAGCTGTATCATCCGATCATATGATATGGAGGCGACGTATTTGAATGGGAGCGTCGCCGTTCAAAGGGATGTATCGGTGTGCATGTCGCGACGTGTGCGCAGCCTGCAGCGTCTCCTCGGCACAGCCGCAGCCTTCCTGCACAGCCCACTTTTCGGGAGCTGGATAAGGGAAGGCTAGCAATGGCTCACATGATAAGAATCGCAATTATTCAGCAGCGGCTCCTCCCCGTCTTTAGTAGTATTTTGGATTCAACATGTCCGCGATAGTAGTACGCGATCCGCATTCATCCTGGTACAAACCAGCGCCGGGCCAGGAGTATGTACGACAACCAATCACAAGATGCGCAGAGAAGGCTAAATGTCGTAGGAACCGAAACATCGCGGCGGAAGCGTATCGGGCTGCCATCGAACACCTCAAGAACGAACTGGACATTGATCTCGATAATTCAGTCCCTTACAAGTTCCAAGCATCCATAAAGGATGTCCTCAGAGTGGTGGAGACTGCCAAGAGGGATTACGAAGACAAGAGCAGGCAGGAGAAGCATGCTGAGACGAGGCAGTCGCTCGAGAGACTGTCTGCGCGCATCATGTACTATGGAAAAGTCATGGATACTCTGGCGCAGCATCATCCTGAGTACGTGGCTCTGGTATGGGGTGCCATGAAATTTGTTCTCACCGTACGTTATGCCTTGTTGAAGCTTGCCCTACCACTTGTGGTGTACTGACATATCGCTCCAAAGGGAGTGATCAACCGAGCCACCCTCTTCGAAAAGCTATCGCAAGCTCTTATCGCTATCGGTGACGTGCTGCCACGGATGGATCTGAGTGCAGAGTTGTACCAGACTCAGTACATGGAGGCTGCACTTTCACGGCTGTTCACATACATCATCCTATTTCTCCGCCTGTGCGTCCGTTGGTACAAGAAGAGCCCTCTGGGTCGGATCTGTTCTGCCATCAAGACACCGTTCGAGCTTGGTTACCAAGAGCTGGTGAACCATATCCAGGAGTGTTCGAAAGCAGTTGACGACCTTGCCAGCGCTGGCGCTCGAGCCGAAATCCGCGACGTCCATAACATAGCAATGCTGCAACATGCGCAGATTCGAGAGCTTGATGCGAAGCTGGCGGGCGTGATGGAAGGGCAGAAGAAGTTTGCAGCCCATATTACCCAACTTCTACAGGTCGCAACTTCGCACAAAAGCATTACGGAGCGGATAGGTGTCGACGTCTGTAGCATAAGCAAGACAGTGTATCGTCTCGAGTTCAGCGGAGTGATGCAATTCTTCGAACCCAAGGTATTGCCCGAGACGGCCCTGCTCAAAGTGCGATCACTCGTGCGTCGGGACACGACGCCAGGCTTGCCTAGCCCTAACGAACAGAGAGTGCGCAGAACCATCCTGAATTGGGCTTTTGGGAAGGGGTCGTCACTTCTCGTCGTTCATGTCGGCGTTCGTGCGCAAAAGCAAGCGAAAGAACTGGCAACCAATGTGATCCAGAATATGAGGTCCGGAAGTCAGCGCGTTTTCTGGAACTTACCTTCGGGCCGCACGTCTTCAGAAGCGCAAACCATCGAGGAGCTGTTCAGAGGCATCATCTTCCAGATACTTCACCACTCGGGTGATCTGTACAACGGCTGTGCCGAGCAGTTGAACCTCTCAAAGATTCGCGCTACTCATACGGAGCGCGAATGGGTCGAACTTGTCTGCCTCCTCTTTTCCAAGATACCGACAGCCTTCGTAATAATCGAGACCGAAGCGCTTCAGAAGTCCTACCGACACGATCCTGACTGGAGCAAACGACTTTGCGAGTATCTTGATCTTATCACTGATCGATGTTCAGAAGCAGGGTGCGAGCTGAAAGTACTCCTCGTCTTATATGGAAACAATCATCGAAGCGGCGCGGCTGCTTCAAACTCGAAGAACGTCCGTGTCGCGACATTGCAGCCGCCAAATCCGGTACCTCCACATCTGCGGCATGTAGCGCGCCGATCTTGTTTAGTAGCTAAAGGTTGGAAGATGCAAAGGCCAAAAGGGCGAGTATAGTCGGAGGTGATAGTCACTCAGTCAGCATGAAGAAATTGCAGTGTGATTAACGGCATGGAGGAAGGGACAGACCCTCCAGGAAGGGCTGTCTGCATTCAAGGAAGGCACGTGACTTATCGATACGCACCTACCATCGCGCGAGCGCGACTGCCCATCATTTCGCGCCCGCACCATCACCTTCCCTCCCAACTTCATCCACCCAAAATCCATCACATCTCGATCTCCACCCCGCACACTCACGCGATCTATCTTCATACCATCACCACTGAACTACGTCACCACACAATGATGCTCACGACATCCTTCTTCTCACACCAAATGCCGCACTACTCCGCATACACGCCACCGCGATCATCACCACTATCCGAGCGC